GACCACTGTGTGAAGTAGAAGGCTCCTTGGCACTGCATAAACACTGCTCTTCAGCAACTAAATGAACAACAGTTTTCATCACAGATCCAAAACATAGAATCATAGGAGCCACTATGAAGAAAATTACCTCAAGCAAACCAAGACAAAACTTCAATCTTTGAATTTGATAAGCCCTCAAACAGACTGAATAGGAAGAGTACTTGGTAGCTGCAGAGCTGCAGTGAGGCTTAACTCAAATAAAGGCATGGCATGATCCAGTTTATGTTTCCAGAAATGAACTGGGGAGATTGAGCTGCATATGTCAAAGTTGTTACTGATTCTGACAAAGAGACAAGAATCAATGTGACATTTAGTCAAATTCTGGCTTGAGTAATTTTAAATAGAAGATGTTTGGAGTTAAAAACCCAAAAAAGATTATTAGCATAAGGATAAAAACAGCTCAGTAGATCTGAAAAGGTCATATATTTTGGCCTAAAAAAAAAAAAAAAAAGTAGAGCAGAACAAGGATAATAATAGAATACGGTGTTTTTTCAGAGTCTACATTCCATTTTTAGAGTATGGATGGTTAGCAATTCTACATCACAGATGTACAGCTTCCACATTTAAAAGTTTTGTTCACAACCATAAGAAAAAAATTAATGGAGATCTTGTAGGACTCCCTAGTACATAATGGTAGCCTTTAGGGGTCATGAGGAAGGCAAAACCTAACAAAGCAGATCACGGTGTGCCATGAACTTTGTCCTTACCCAAGACTTGCATTTGGATAAGGAAATGTGATATGTCTGAGAAGGCAATTCTTTCTGATGGCCACCAAACTGGAAGACAGGCAACTTTGTTATTTGTAATTTAATTAGTTCTTCCAATGTATTAGCAACCTCATTCGTCATAGTGTGCTGAGTGAAGTTTTCACTGATGAGTTGAAGACTTTTTAATAGCTAGAAAATGTGAGTTAAAGTTTTCATTTATCATTTCTCCAAAGGCCAAGGAAATTTGCGTGACAAATTTTCTTGATGGTTTTGCATTGCTGTTCTTGGGAAACTTTGTTCTTTGAAGTAATATACACCGGTTTCTGTAGCAAAGTATTTTGCATCATATTTGCCTATTTTGGAAACGTTTTCTATGCAAGAAAGTTACATTTAATAAGTTCTCTTTATTCTGAACTTGTGTTTTGTGGTGTTTTCCAGTAAATGAAATCCTATTTCCAGTCAGTAAGAGCTCTATCAGAGGAAAAACTCATTTTAACTTTCCAGATTATTATTTTCTTAAGATCGATAAATTTTAAGATTTTCATATTTCTCCTCAGTCCCCAGCTGAAACGTTTGAGTGCTTATACTAGGCTGAAAAGCTAGACCTATGCCAAGTAACAGAAGCACACACAACTGCTTGTGTACATTCCCCTCTGGTGGTAACTAGCATACACTGCAGAAAGCAGTAAGTTGTGCCAAAACGGGTAAGATTAACTGTAAATAATACTTAAAAAAAAAAAAAAAAAAAAAAAAAACTCCCTATTTTTCAATTGTAAGGATTGAAATATTTTGAAACTGTGAACTTATTTAAACATTCTTCAGCAGTAGTTAACTTGTCTACTTAACTTTATCTTACTGCTATTTATTTTCTATATTGCACCAGCTCTTTTGCCAAGATCAAAGTTCTTTTCCTTTGGCAACACATACTTCAGCAGTATTTCTGAGCTGCTTCTTCCCACACAAATGGCATTAAATTACAGTACTTAAAACTGACCAGTAGGGATTTTCAAAGAGATAAAATAAAACTTTTAAGCCAGAGAAAGGTAGCTAGATGAAAAGCTGTTGAGAAGGGAAATGAAAAATTGTTTTTCATGTTTATTTATTTATTTATGTATATTTATTAAAGATCAGTGAATGGAAAAATCCTGAAAGCTTACCAAATAACTGATAAAGGAACTGAGGATGTGCAGCTGCAGGCAGACACCAGGAAAAAGTCTTTCTTTCAGCCATGATTTTAGAGGCAAAGTAAAATACATTAAATAAAATTACACAGCTGTACATAAATTAAACAACGTTCAGTTTCAGAGATCAGCAAATGACAAGTGTGTAAAAGTGAAATTGCTTACAATTTACAGGCCAGTGGGGATTGTGGCTTGCACAACACTAAGCTCAGTGGTGTAGCTGATAGGACAGAAAAAAGGGATGACATTAAAAGGGACCTGGACAAACTTGAAAAGTGGGCCCGTGTAAACCCATGTAAACCTAATGAGGCTCAACAAATTCAAGTGCAAAGTGCTGCACTTGGGTTAGACACAATTACAGTCTCGGCTAACATTTAGAGCTAAAAGGACTGCTAAAAAGGACTCCGGGAATCTGGTGAATGAAAAGCTAGACTTGAGTGTGCAATGTGTGCTTGCAGCCCAGAAGGACAACAGTATCCTGGGCTGCATGAAAAGAGATGTGGCCAGCAGGGACAGGGAGGAGATCCTCTCCCTCTGCTCTGCCCTAGTGAGGCCCCATCTGGAGTACTGCGTCCATGTCTGGAGCCCTTAGTACAGAAGGATGCAGAGCTGTTGGAGCAAGTACACAGGAGTCCAGAAGGATGATCAGAGGGGTGGAATAACTCTCATGTGAAGAAGGACTGAGGGAGCTGGGCTTGTTCAGCTTGAAGAAAAGGAGCGTTTCAGTACTTAAAGAGAATTTATAGTCAGGAAGATCAACCTTTTACCTGGGCAGATAGTTACAGGGCATGTGGGAATGCTTTTAAACTAGAAGAGGGGAGGTCTATATTAGATGTAAGTGGGAATTTTTTCACTCAGAGATTGGTGAGGCACAGGCCTCCCAGAGAAGATGTGAATGCCCATCGCTGGAGATTTCAAGGCCAGGTTGGATGGGTCTCTCAGCAGCCTGATCTGGTGGGTAGCAACCCTGCCCACAGCAGGGAGCTGGAACTTCTAGATCTTCAAGGTCTCTTATTACCCAAGCTATTCTATGATTCAATGATCGTATGGTTTTATGATCCACAACAAGAAGAGAATAAAAAACCTGAGTGCTGCTCAGTTCATTAAAATTAAGAAAACATTTTGCATTCTCACAGTATTCTTTGTATTCTTACAGGTGACAAGAAGAACATTCAGTAAGGATTTTTTTTCAGTAATTAAGTAAGGAGAACTATATGTAGCTAGGAAGTAATGCCTCGAAAAAAATCTGACAGTAAATTTTTGCATCTCACAGAATGAACAGTGGTCAACTGGAAGGTTTCTTTGTGTATTATTTAGATAAGAAAAGTGAAAGCATTTGCATGCTGGTAAGTTTAGGTGCATCTACAGATCTGGGAGAGGCTTGGACTGCCCTCAGCACCCACGGGCATTTAAACACACTTTAATCTGCTGAAACAGCATACTGTAACCTGAAATAGGAAGAAAAAAAAAAAAAGAAAAAAAAAAAGACTTCAGCAGAGGAAAAAGCCATAGAAAATACATCAGTACATTGACAAGTGAAGGCAAGGATATACATACACAGGAAATGCCACTGCAGAAAGCCTCACAAGACAACCACACCTTCCTAATTTAAAGGGCTAAGAAAAGCAAACTTAAATGTTCATTCTTCTCAAGAAGGATGAAATTTATAGGCAACTAAAACCATTATTTTAAAATTAACTTGCAGCTCTAGTACTTTACTTTCTTAACCACGTGGCTGTTAATCCATATGTAAATATACAGTAGGTAACACAAGGGACAGAGCCAAATCAGGGTTTTTCAAGAAATCTTTCTTCACTCTAACTGCTCAGTGAATCTAACCCCAACAGCATGAACCTGACTACAAAGAGTCCCAGCCCTGATAATGTGCTGCTTTATTCTTATGTGTACATTTTACTGCAAATCCTCTGGCCTGTGCCTAGACCCTGAAATTCTCTTAGACCTTTGTTTCTCTCTGTTGTGTAAAATTCCTACCATTTTGCCTTGTGGGAAGCAGCTGTACATACGATCCCCCTCTTCTATTTCCCCCTTTCAATCAAAGCTTTTTCTTCTGTGTATTTCATTCAAAATATCAGCTTCCAAAATTATTTTTTCTGTAACAGGCAGAAAAAAAAGTGTATGAACACCATTTAGATGGTAGTAGATGGTAGTTAGTCCCTCAACTTATACAAGCCAAACACATTTAATTAGCAGAACGAGTTGGATGTGCTGAGGTACTAAACTGTCTTGTCCCTTGCTTTATTCTTTATTTTAGGTTTCCAGAAAAATTAAAAGACTACTGTCTTCTGTCCACTTGCTCATTATTACTTCCTCATCACATTTTCATTATCCCATTGTTATGACTGCTTGGCTCAAAATGCAGTCTCACACACTGAGGCAACAGAATTTCCTTGCATTTAGTACAGTTCTTGAATATCTTTGGCACTGAGCCTATGCAAAGCATAACCAAGGTCTTAGCTTCCTGCAGGCATAAAAATTCAATTTGAAACACATCCAGAGTCTTTCTTTTGGAGAAAAATAACAGACAATATCACTGGGGAGAATTAGTTTACCAATCATCTTTCCAGACGTTTCCCTTTCCTTCTGAGAGATTTCTCCCTCAGATACCAGGTAATGGTCTGACAAGCAGCTAGTACAAAGGCTCAACAGAAAGACCTCACTACATCAAGTCCCCCAAATTTACATACCTTCCTCTTCTTCCTATTTGTAATCTTTCAGGAATACAGATTGGAATTTGGATTTGGAGCACTGCTTTGAAACTAAAAATATTTAGCTAAACTGTCCTCATTTGGATAAGAAGTCTAGAATAGTGCTTTAGTGACTCTCAGGACAATTTTTCTGTTTTCCTTTATTACTGTTCTTAATTTAAGAGTGTGGACTTGAACACAATAATCAACTTTTCCAGCCTGGAGCTCTAATTCCAAAAATCCAAGGAGACACACTTTAACAGCTTAAGAAAAAGTCAAAGGAAACAGTCTTCCCAGTGTGAGGCAAAATGAACAAAAAAAGCATGGAAAACAGTCTAAAACTGGCTTGTATTTTCTTTTAATTCCAGCTGCAAAAAAACAGTTGCAACCATGTGATCCTTCATGTAGGACCTGTGACAAATCTGCTGACAGGTGCACTTCATGTCCAGAAGGTAAGAGACTTCAGCTTCTTTGAGGAGGATTTGCAAAAGACAAAATATACTGTATGTTACATACTTCAATGGAATATTTGCAATCATGATCACTAGAAAGTCCATTAGCAGCTTAAGGCACAGTCTGGTAAATCAACAGCTGAAGTGAGATATCAGCTAGGAGCTAATCACATACCCTTATAAATAAGGGTAGTTGTTGCTCCTTTTCTTTCTCTTCAATCAAAATTTGTAGACGTGATGAAGGTATTACTGAAGAGGGCTTTATTCAGAGAGATGTACTAAATAACCCTGATGATTCTTTCTATCCTTAAATTTTAGTGAAGTTTGAATTACTACATTTCCCAGCTACTACAAGAAATTGTTTAAAGAATGTTTTATTCATGTTTTCAGGCATCAGAAAGTCAGACTTCCATGAAGATGAAAGCATTTTTGTAGCCACCAAAGGCAAATCTTTTGGATATATTTCTAATCGGTGTTTATTCCCACTTGGGTTTCTCTTTTGCTAGGAAAATTTCTTGCCCACAATAAATGTGTCTCTCAGTGCCCACAACAAACTTTTGCCGACGTTGGAAGTGGGAAGTGTGAAATGTGCATGGAAAATTGTGAGGTGTGCTCTGATCCCTGGCACTGCCAGAAGTGTCAGGCTGAACAAGGACAGTCTTTCTTCCTTCACAATGGCAGATGCTTACAGGAATGCCCTGAGTAAGTAGCCCTTGTTACATTACTGCTCCTTATTTCCTCACTGAGTTCCTTCTGTAATCTAAATCCTTAATTGGCCTTTTAAAAGAAAGCTAAATGTAACCTTAGCTACTAAAAAATACCACGAGGTAAAAGTCATTTTCAGATGGCCTTAGTAAACAAAATTTTCTATGGTTTAGAGAAGTGAAAAAGCAAAAGTGAAACTAGATACGAAATGCTATGACAGGTTTTACTGCTCCCATTGTCTTCAAAAGGACCACAGAGTTTCAGGATGTTCTTCATGGGGACTGACAACAAGTGTCTAGTCCTTCTCCTAACCTGTCCTAACCTATAGAGAGTAAGAGTGTTATTTAGGATGCCATCTTCAAGGAAGTGGAAGAACTTCTTTCCTTTGAGCATGAAAGAGCACTAGAACAAGCTGCTCAAAGAGGCTGTAGAGTTTCCATCTCTGGATGTATTTAAAACTCGTTTGTGCATTTCGACACTTTCCTGTGCAACCTACACTAGAGAACCTGCTTTAGCAGAGGGTTGAAGTCAATGATCTCCAGAGGTCCCTGCCAATGATTTTGTGATTCTGTGAAACAAGAAAGAATGTTTCAGAGATCTGATATGGAAATAAAATAGTCTATGAGGCTTTTCTATCATTGGCTTACATTTTACTCTAATAAATGAAATTAACTTCACTATCTCAGGTATTCCTGTTTCCTGTGCTTTCTTTGTTAGCATTCATCAAAGCTACATTTATATGTATAAAATCTGTGCTATGTAATATGAAACTATTGCTTGAATAATCTTTCTTTTAAGAAAAATGTCCAGCTTCTGCTTTTCTTATTACCAGCACAAATTCTTTGGCAGAACTTTCATGCTAACTTTGTCATATAAGTACACAAGGGCCAGTGAAACAGATTCTGACAATCATAGTTCAGAATAAATGCAAAGTGTCTGCCCCATTCCAAGAGGAAAAAGAAATCAAAAATGAAGGGAAGGGAAGGGAAGGGAAGGGAAGGGAAGGGAAGGGAAGGGAAGGGAAGGGAAGGGAAGGGAAGGGAAGGGAAGAGATATTTTGGCAGTTTTATGTATATATATTTATATTAGTTATATTTCTGTTGTTTTTTTTCAGTACTTATTCCTTATTTTTATTCCACACAGGATCAGTATAACATAATTAAAACTTTTCAGATTTTATTACTTTTTTCAGTTGCTATTAACCCCCATTTTTTTCAAAATCCAGGCTTTAAAAAATTGCTTCCTTTTATTTGGCAAAGTCTACTAGAGCTCAACACTCGTTTCAGTCTCTGAGTTTAAAGTTCTGCAGGAATAACTGAATGTCTGTGGAAACATTCAAGGTCAAGCTGAACAGGGCTCTAAACAACCTGATCTAGCTGTAGATGTCTCTGTTCACTGCAGAGGAGGTGGACTATATGACCTTTAAAAGTCCCTTCCAATTCAAACAATTCTATGATTCTACTCTCCATTGAGGCAGAGGATTCTAGGAGATTATTTTTTAGAGTTTGTTTCGTACACCACAGAGGAAGGGTTGATTTGCTGCACTGATAATTTCTGACAGAGGACACTAAAATACTGAGCTAGAAGAGCACTCTAGACTGGAGCAAAAGAAGGGACTATCAGAAATAGATGCAGGATTATGACTAAAGATTAGGAAAAAGAGAAAGGAAGATGAGAATAGATGACAGGAAAAGCTCTTCTTAATTTTTCTCTAGCCTTGCTCCTAACACACCTCCTCTCACTTTCTTTGGAAAGATAATCTCTCGGAAATCATATCCTTTTACCAGACTTGTTTAAGTGAAGTACATGTTTTGCTTTCCAAGTCAATTTCTTCCTTAGATTTCATCAGTGTTTGCATACATGTAAATTAACAATCATCTGAAAATGGAGAATTGCTTTTCCCTCTATCTTATAACATTTTCGTTTCAAGAGTATAGGCAGACTGGATTGCATCCCTCCTCTCCTAAAACGTAGGCCTACTTTCTTGTTGTTTTCTTCATGACTAATTTCCTCAACCTGGGTTGCCTACAGTAATTCTTACACCATAGATGCTGGTAAAACTTGCTCCTCCTTTCCTGTCTTACTGTCACCACACACAGGTGCTTAAACATTATGGGTTTATTGTCTGTTTAATCCAGCCCTTCCTTATTCTCCTCAGCTTTGACATTTGTGGGCTTCTGCCTTCTTTCATCTGGGATCAGTGAGGTGATGCGTCTCATTCTTTCTCTGCCATCACCACTGAGAGTTGGCCATGGGAATATAGAGTCTTTCTTTTCTAGACACTATAGACCCTCCTATTTTATGGAAGTGGCAAACCGAGAAAGTGGTAAGAAAGGAAGTCCAACATCCCCTAATGTAGGTATAAAAATAAGAGAAGGCCAAACTCTCTTCTTGGTACTAGTCATGCACATTCTCTGCTTGCGGGCACGGAAGATGTAAATTGAATGGAGGACAAGTAACTAAATGTGTGAGAAACCTTTTAGATCCAGTGAAATGAGTGCACTGGCAAAGTCAATAGACTCACATATGCTCATAATTCTAAATGGACTGGACTGTGGTAAGTATATGCTGACCAACAGTTTGCTTTGTGTTTATTTTTACTTAATAGGGGATACTTCAATGATTCTGGGACTTGCAAGGAATGCAGTGGTTCCTGTAAGACATGTGAGGGAAGTGCTACCAAATGCCTGTCATGCAAAAGTCCTTTGCTTCTGGAGCAGTGGGAATGTAAACCTACCTGTTCACAGAAACATTTTGCCTTTGATGGAATCTGTAAACATTGCCCTGCTATGTGTCTGGAGTGCATTCACAGTGAAACATGCAAAGGTATTACAAAGAACTGCTTGTGACTTGGATAAAATCTGTCTAGATCAGTCTAGGAGCAGACTGACAGAATAACAGACCTGAAAAGAAATTCTGTAAACCAAACCAAACCAAGGAAAAACTCCCCTAAGACAGAGGCTAAGTAAATGATGCTTTATGAGGAGATTCAGTCTAAACCAGGCACCCGTAAAGCAATTTCATCTTGCTTTGTGTGTTCCTGTTGTTCCTCAGAGATCTATATTGGTTTGATGACAGCTTATTGTATTCATGTCTAAATACCTAAAAACACATGCACACCACTGTGAAATACAGAATGCTTCTTTCCTAGTTTGATTGAACTTTATGTCTCTTTGCAATACTACTCGTGGCAGAGAATGAAACCTTTATAATGAAACATTATCTAGTAATGCATGCTTAGGAAAAACTTCAACGTGCTGATGAGTCTGAATACACACCAGAATGTTCCCAGAATAGTTAATATTTAGCAAATTATACACAAACATGGAGGAAAAAGAAAATCAAACAACACTATTAAACAAGTACTCATAAGAAATAGCAGCTGAATCCAAGCTCTAGCCCAACATTCTGACCAAATATTCCAACCAGATTCATATACTAACAAATCAAACAGAAGTTCAGAAATAAGCAACTATATCCACCAGTATACAGTGGCAGAAATGTTTGGTTATTATCAGTACAAATGAATAGCTGATTTTGCTTCTCAGACCCTTGAGAAGAAACAGAAAAAGCTTCATGATAGCTAGGCTATGATGGGCAAGTTGGAGGGGAAAAGTTAGAAGAGAACATACAACATTCCCAAGCTGTCTGCTTGTCTCCTGTTTTGACATGCACTGCTCCCTCACATACTGAAGTCAGCGTAAGCACTTTTGCTTACTCTGTTGTTCTCTGTAGAGTGTGTGGATGGGTTCTTCCTGCATGAAGGGAAATGTGTAGAGGACTGCCCTACCCAATTCTATGCTGAAGACAAGCACTGCTTTCCCTGCCATGGAGACTGCAAGGACTGCAACGGACCAGACTCAGATGACTGTATTGAGTGTGCAGTCAGCTACTTTGTCCTATATGATGGCAAGTGTTCTGAAGAGTGCCCTGAGGGGACTTACTATGAAGATGAGACTGAAGACTGCCAAGGTTGGTAGCTGCTGTTTTCTCTAGAATGGCAGTAAGACAGAAGTAGACTAGCAAAACACTATTCTAAAAAGACCTGCCCTTCCTGACTATGGCTATCTATGTCTTGGAAATGGAGGGGATAACAAAGGCAGCAAAAAATATCAAGCACGGTGTACAAAAATTAGAGAAAGTCCAGAGACAAAGGCAACAAAACTAGAATGTGTTTATTGAACTACTCTGGCAAAGTGCTGAGTGTTGCTGGAGACAGTAAGTTGAAAATCACTACTCAGTCAGTGCAAAAGGAAACCTAAGGAACTGGCTGCATAACACCAAAAGTAGTGAATGGTTTGACTATGCAGAAGAATTTTTTCTCTATTTCTCTCAGCCTTTCACTCTGAGATGGAGGCTGCTCCTGGAAAAATTTAAATTGAAATAATAATATGAACTGTAGCATGGTGACATTCCTACTGTTTCTCCATTTCAGCATGCAATAGGACATGCAAGTCTTGTTCTTCATCCACTGCCTGCATTACATGCAGAAATGGCCTGATCCTGAATCGTAACGGGCACTGCGTACTATCCGGACACTGCTCTCGCACCGAGTACTATGATGAGAATACTGAGACCTGCAAAACTTGTCATAAGAAATGTTTTCACTGCTCAGGACCAACTGAACACCAGTGTATTAGTTGTGCAAACAACCGCTATCTTTTCAGTAAGTGTCTTGTTCCTGTTTATAGCCTTTATTCCACACTGGCAGCATGGAATAAATAAGCTTATGTGACATTCATAAAACATTGGACTGCTTTAGACTATCGAAATATTGCAATGTTGACCTGATAAGTAAAAGACTTGCTCAGTGATAATTATTTTCTGTAGAGCTACCTGGAAACTCTGAAAGACAGAGCAAAATCATCATTCAGGGTCAGCCACTCACTGGAGGCAAAAAAAGACTTCTAAGTAGCAACAAATCCCATAACTAAACAATTTTTTTTTTTTTTTTTAATTCACTTCCTATTTACTGTCACTTTTGCTTTCCATAAAGATCTTAAGAAGAGGAGAGGGACAATCTTTTCTTTTTGTAAGCACAAAGAAATCAGAGTTTTCATGCTGACTTGTTTAATTCCTCCAGAAATGTGATGAGCAGATAAATACTTAAGTAGAAATGTTAAAAATTGTCACAATACCAGTCTCAAGAGAATGGCTGAGATGTAAAACTACATTACTTTTGTGACCTGGAGTAAAAGTTTATTGTTTCAGGAAAAAATTGATAAAGAGTATAAAATATTAAATCTTAAACTTCAATTCTTTGTAATTTTTTCAAGACAAAATTTAAAAAATCTGTTGGAGAGAAACTGATTAAAATAATCTTTCATGCCAAAAACACATAAAGAAAGCCTGAGGTGAAACTGTCCCCAGGATGTTTGTGTTTAATCTGATGCAGATTTTGCAGTCTTAAATTTTGTATACTTTGCATTAGATCTATGTTTTATATCAACACAATAAATTGTTTTGCACAATTACCATTGGTGAAAAAAAAGGAAGTATCTTTATTTCCCCAATTTTAATCGTCAAAATGTGAAAACAAGTGAGATAATAAGTATTAAGCTACTAACTAGATGATCTCTGCTCTCCTAGCTTGACATGCTTGCAGTTATTTGAATCACTTAGTTTCTTATTCCTATTCCTGTCCTCCTAATGACCCTCTGATATTTCGGTCAGTGTGATGTAGCTGATACATCTGGCAGTATTGGAGACATTTATTCTTGTAACACAAAGCATCAGCTACATACAGGGGTAAAGACCAGCAAATAAAAGTCACTAAATTTCAGATTCATCATATACACAGAATGCAATGAGATTGACACTTTTAAGTGAAAACTATAGGAAATGTTTATGCCTATAGAATACTTCTTCATTATTTCTTCTTGCATGTATTTTAAATGAAATCACAGCTGTTCATTATGCATTTATGTTCTCTAAAGATAAAAAAATTATCTGCTCTGAAGATCATGCTATTGTACATGAAGTACAGAAATGAGGACGACTTAACTGAAAATGCTTAGAAGCTACTATGTCCCAACATTCCCTTTTCTTGCTCTGGTACAAGCTTTAACAGCATCTCCTGTTAGAGTCTAATCTAGGAGCATTTTGCAAGTTACTTTATAGCAGCAAATTCTATGACATGCTATTCCTCATTGCTCTCTGTGCAGATACAACCTGTGTTGAAACATGCCCGGCTGGGTACTACGCTGACAGTGATGAAGGACGGTGTTCCCCATGCCACATCACCTGTGCCACCTGCAGTGGAAAACACAGCTCACAGTGCCTTTCCTGTAAACCAGGCTTGTACAGGCAAGGAAAAGGATGCGTAAGCCAGTGTCCAACGGGGTAAGGTCCAAGGTTTTTAGCAAAGAGAGAGCTACAGCACAGAGAGCACTTTGAGACATTAGGTTGTTTCTCTCCTATTTATTTTAGTCAGACAGAATTAAATTTCATTTCCAGCAAAAATGTCTTATGCTGCTCCAGTATGCAGAGGAAAACCTCCTTTCATTGTATAAAACTAGAATGTTCCCAAACTGGGACTATCTGACATTATGTGGTCATTCTCACTCCCTGAGGATGCTCTTAGGTTATGTTTATATAGAAAAGAGTAGAGCAGAATAAATGTTGCAAGTTATCAGGTTCAGCACAGGAAGCAAGCACCCTTGCAGGCTCCACCTAACTTGAAATTTAGATGATTTTTGTTTGGCATTAAGCAAATATTTATAACCAATCATAATAAAACCAACCACTAAAACATGTTTTAACTCAGTGGTCAAACTCCTGGACAGCAAATTAATATGAGTACTTTCAATTTCAAAATATGAATTCAACTAGTTCTTGTGACTATGTCACAAAAATTTAAATCTGGAAATTGGACATATGATTTGTGGCCATTTGATTTTGCAGTAATGCGGTCATGCTGGCATTCAAATTCAGTTATCATTCTGTTAAGCTGGAAGTCTGTAATGGCCATATTACATATCAACACAGCCACAAAGCAGCTCTTGCCCTTTTTCCTCTGACTGCACAACTTAGGTGAACCAATTGTCCCTCTGTTGGAACCCTCTGACTAAACCTGCTTATGGATTGAAAGAAATCATGAAATTGCTGAATTTCCATCTGCAGCATGAGTAGTGAGAAACTCTTATTGCTTAACCAATATCTCACAAGACATCTCTGGCAAAATCAAAATGAAGCTTATGTTTTCTGGGCCCTGCCTATTTACATACTTATTTTGTACCTGAATTCATCTTCAATTTTAAAAAGTCTTTCTTTGTACACTCTCAATTTTACAAAGACTTGTTTCATAGCTAAATTCCAGTGGCCAAGAATAAGCATTCTGTTTCCATTGGGACTGCAAATATTTACTGTGATCACATCATTATCACTTTCATATATTCATGTAATCAGAGAAAGAGCTCATGACGAAAGGTGTTCTGGTTTTCCTGCCATTGTTAGACATTTTGCACAGCCACAACTATCAAATCTGTTTCAGCTATTTTGCACAAAACTCCACTGGGTCATGCGAGCGCTGCCACAAGGGCTGTAAGGAGTGCATGGGGCCTCAACCAACAGACTGCCTTTTCTGTGATACATACTTCTACCTGCTGCACTCCAAGAACCAGTGTGTTAGCTCTTGTCCTGAATATTACTATGAAAACAAGGAAGAAAATGTCTGTGAAAGATGCCACCCTTTCTGCCGAACTTGCAAAGGTAAAAGCATACACTCTGCTTTGGCAACATAAAAGAGATTCTCAAAACACCTGCCAAGATTACCCAGCCACCTTTGTCTTCTTTCTTTTCCTCCCTCTGCTCCAAGATCTGTAAACACACAACAAAAAGGCGTGCTGTGCATAACCCTGCCAGCCGTCAATAATCTCTGGCCACAGCAGGCAGCCAAGACCTCCCCAGCGGCTGCCAGCTTCTCCTCTACCCCAGGGTTTCTCACTCTTCTGACTGCTTCATGTTGCCACCTTGCCTTTAAAGTACCAATCAACCAAGATCAAAGCAAGAATATGAATTCCCAGCAGGCTCTCGAGGGGCTGTCTGCAGGTACTAAGCACAGACCAGCCATACAGGGGAGCAGGGAGAGTGAGTTCCCAGAGAAGAGAAATAAACTGAGGATGGTAATTAAGTTTTCAGTCAGCCAGGCCTCACACAAAGATGCTCATCCACTTCAAAATAAAAGGGCTCTGTTGCCTACACAGCTACACTCTGCTTCTTGCACAAACACTGAACAGTATCTTCATCTTTGAGCTAACTAACTATGTATTACTCTGTGAAAGCCAAGGGATTTAGATCTAACTTCAGATCTTTGTGATTGGTAAAGGAAAGAGTAGAAAATCAACCACTAACAACACTTAAGATAAGGCCATAAAGCGTATCTTCAGTGTGTGTGGGGGGGGAAACATCAGTGTGATGTCTGCTGTTTTTTATACAGTTTTTTACCACGTTTATTTTGAGATATGTTTCCTTCTATGGCACCCTCACATGTTCAGTTTCTTCACTTCCATTTATAATACTGTGTGCAATTTGGAATGGGGCAGAATTAGTCCACTTGGAATGAGTGTCATGAGATGATAGCTGGCAGCTTCTGCTCCACAGCTCAGACTACCCCTTGCAATGCACAACAGTTGTTTTGGATGGTGGATATGTTGGATAGCACAGATGGCTAACTGCAACATAACAATATTTAAAATTGTGGAAATGGTTCCAAGAGTAAAGCAACCCTCAAGAACTATTAAAATGTGACTGCATAGCAGCATTATAATAAATAACAAATAATTTAGTTTAGATTTGGGACAAAAATATTGTCATTTAACTTACAGACCATTCCTAATCATGAATTTTGTTTTATTCATGAAAAGACATTTTCTACTGTAGTTACCACTAAGATAAAATACAAGCTCATCCTCTTAAATAACAAATCTGTAGCTGTTTTGAAACGCATCTGCACTGCTTATGCACAGGAAAAGAAGTCTCTTCTTTCTCAAGACCAGAAAAGACAGAGTAAATTAACTGAGCCATAGAAAGTTGCTAACTTCACCCGTTTAACTTTTGCTAACATGAATTAGTACATTTTTTTCCTTTCAGACAATGGAAGAAAACACCTAGTTGCAGGGAAATTGACAGATGCACTGTAACATGTAGGACAAACCACTCACTTTAATGCTCCACAGAAATGCTGTGGGCAGCATCTGCCTTCAAAGAGACTCACAAAACACGCACCATTCTAAATGATCAGAATGCAACTGAGCTTCCCCGTACAATGCGTTCCCTAATCACATTGTCATGAATATTTTCATGAATTAAGAAATGCGGTTTTGAGGCACACAAAACCTCAAGCATCATGCATAAGCTGCTCAATATCATTTTAATACCGGTTTCTTCAAGTTGGACCCGCCACTTAAGATTCTTGAAGTTGACAAGTATCCCTTTTCATTGGTTGTAGTGATCAGTATGAAGTTAGATGAGAATTTTTACTATTATAAATTGTTGTTTTATTGTTGGTTTAATATTGTTGGTTTATTTGCCTCTTTAGGAAAGGAAGGATTCAGCTGCACATCTTGTGTATGGAGCTACAGTTTCTTAAATGGAATGTGCAGCTCAGACTGCTTTGTAGGTTACTACAAAGTCCAGGAGGCACCAGGACAAGAGGTAATATTCATAGGCATTTGGTCCTGTGATTATTATGCTGAACTTTAACTTCTGAACATAACACAAACACAGAATGTTCTTCTTTGAGTTTTCAAGGCTTTAAAAATGCGTACTTTTTTCTTCTCTTGACAAAGGAAGCATTGTTTCTCTTTTCGGGTCTTTCTACTATAGAACAGTTCTCTAAGAGTAAATATAAAGACACTACTCTGTCAAAGATGATACCAAACATACCAAAATCAATTATATTAGTAAAAGAGTATTTATTTTATCCTAGTTTAACTGAGATTTCCGCAGGGATTTCTGCTTTTGAGAAATCACATCACATTCCTGATAGGCAGTTCTGCTAGCAGAAATCTAGTGAAAAGAGAAGCTGAAGTTAAAGCTGTATATTTAATAGAATAGGATCACAATCAGGTTTGGGTCTGTGCAGCTAGCCTGCCTCTGGGTTTCTACACCAACTACCTTTCAAAGATGTTTGTTCAAGAATAAAGCAACAAAGTAAGACAGCTGGCTGGAGATGACAGAATCTCACAAGCACAGAACTGCAGAAGGTGGAAAGGACCTCAAGAGATCAAGTCAAACTTCCCCACCAAAGCAGGTATAGTTGGTCACACAGGTAGGCATCCAGACAGGTCCTAGATGTCTTCATGGAATGAGACTCCACAACTTCTCTGGACAACCTGTTCCAGTGCTCTGTCACTCTTACTGTAAAGAAGTTTTTCAACACGTTTATTACAGAATCACAGAATCACAGAATGGCCAGGGTTGGGAGGGACCTCAAGGATCATGAATCTCCGACCCCCCTGCCACATGCAGGGCCACCAACCTCCCCATTTAATGCTAGACCAGGCTGCCCAGGGCCCCATCCAATCTGGCCTTGAACACCTCCAGGGACGGAGCATCCACAACCTCTCTGGGCAGCCTGCTCCAGCACCTCACCACTCTCTCTGTAAAGAATTTCTCCCTGACGTCCAACCTAAATCTCCCCTCCCTCAACTTAAAACAATTTCCCCTTGTCCTGCAGTTATCTACCCTTTCAAAGAGTTGATTCACCTCCCCTCTGTAGCTCCCTACGTTACTATGAAATTTCCTATGTTCAAGTTTTAGTTCATTACTCCTTGTTCTATTTCTATGTACCAGCAAGAGCCTGGCCTCATCCATTTATTCCCACCTCTCTTTAGATATTTATAAACATTTATCAGATCCACCTTCAGTCTTCTTTTTCCCAGGCTGAACAGACACAGATTCCTCAGTCTTTCCTCACACTGGAGATGCTCCAGGGCCTTTATCACCTTCTGCTGGACTTCTACTAGGAAATCCCTGTCTTCTTTGAACTAGGGAGTCCAGAACAGAACACAGCATTCTAAATGTGTCCTCACCAGGGCAGAGTAGAGGGGGAGGATCACCTCCCTTGACCAGCTGGCCATACTCTTTTTAATGCACCTCAGGTCACAAGGGCACACTGCTGGCTCATGGTCAAGCTGTTGTTCACCAGAACACCCAGGTTCTTCTCTACAGAGCTCGTCTTCAGCAGGTCATCCTCTAACCTACACCGATGCACGTAGTTATTCCTCCACAGGAACATACTTGCTCTTCTTAGACCTCATCAGGTTTCTCCCTGCCTAATTCTCCAGTCTGTCCAGGTCTTGTTGACTGGCAGCACAGACTTCCAGTGTCTCAGCCACTCCTCCCAGCATCAGCAAACTTGCTAAGGAAAGGGCTCTATCCATTAATCCAGATCATTAATGTAGATGTTGAACAAGACTGGACCCAGCACCAACCCCTGGGGAACATCACAATTTACAGGTCTCCAACTGCCCTCTGTGCTACTGACGACAACCCTCAGCTATGTCAGTCAGCCAGTTCACCCCACTGTCTACTCATCTATCCCACACTTTCTAAGTTTCATTACAATGAAGCTGTGGGAGACAATGTGAAATGCATCGCTGCAAGGCAGACAGCATCCACTGCTCTCCTCCTATCTACCCAGCTAGTGATTACAGCATAGAAGGATGGTCAAGCATGCTTTCTCCTTGGTGAATCCATGTTGACTACTCCTGATGACCTCTTCTCTTCTAACTGCCTGGAGAGGGTCTCCAGAACAAGTTGTCCCATCACCTTTCCAGAAGTGAGGCTGACTGGCCCGTAGTTCTTGCCCTTTCTGAAGACTGGAGTAATTGACATTGGCTATCCTCCAGTCTTCACACACTTCTGTTTGCCAAGACTCTTCAAACATGATAGGGAGAGATTCAGCAATCACCTCTACCAGCACTTTCAGCACATGTGGGTGCATCCCATCAGGGCCCATGTATTTGTTTTTGTCGATTTTAGCTAGACACTTTCTGACCAGATTTTCCTCAACCAACAAGAAGTATTCATTTCCCCAGACTCTCTTACTTCCAGGGTTTAGAATTCCTGAAAGCTAGTCTTAACATTAAAGACTGAGCAAAGAAAGCATTCAGAATCTCTACCTTCTCCACATCCTCTGTTACCAGGGCACTCACCTCATTTATTAAGCGATGCACATTTTCTCTAATCTTCATTTTACTGCTGACATACTTAAAAAACAAAACAAAACAAAATGAACAAAACATCTCTTTCTTGTTTTCCTTTACCTCCTTTGTGAGGCTTAATTCAAAGTGTCTTAGCTTTCCTTGTATCTCTACAGGCCCTGAAAACATTCCTATATTCTTCCCAGGTGAACAGGCCCTTTTTCCACATTTCATGGACCTTCTTTCCCTTTAGTTTATCCATGAGTTCCTTGCTCATCCATTCAGGCATCCTGTCGAATTTCCCCAATTTCTTAGTCTTAGGGATGCACTGATCTTGAGATTGGAAGAAATGATGTTTAAGTGTCAACCAACCCTCATGGGGCTCCCTACCTTCTAACACTTCAGCCCATGGGAACTCAGAGGAGAACACTGCTTGTGTTCCCAATCCCTTTAATGCCTTTCCAAGGGATGCAAAATCCCTTTTAATGTTCTGTAATTTCCTTGTTACAACATCCTATGACCCGATATGCATAACAACAAGTGGGTAGTAGTCTTCTTGTTTTATCAGAAGTGGTAAAATCTTCTTAATATCTCTGACACGTGCCCCATTAAGAGACAGCAAATGTCTCTGGAGAGGTTATCTGGGCAACAAATGGGGGCCTCAGTGCCTCCCAGCAAGGAGTCCCCAACTACTAAGAGTCTTTGCCTCTTTTTGGTGGCCCTAGTTCTAATGAGATTCTGTGGTTGGCCCCTCTCCACATGCTTGCTGCTTCCTGGGCTGCCTGGCATTCAGACACTCTTTTGTTTCCAACCCAAGTCTTGTACCTATTGCTCGGGGGGAACTGTTGGGGTAAGAGGAAGGTACCTCCTTCTGCTCCATGCAGAGATGAAGGTCCATACCCCTTCTGTTGGGCGCTATCTTATTCTTTAGCCTCTAGGTGGGAAGCTGGTTTAGCTGCTTCTCCAGGCAGGGACTTATAAGAAGACTGCTGGTCATCATGTGTCAGTTCAGACCTCCTCATAAGTTCCCCTCTCTGATTCCCAGGTGCCTCTCAGCCTGCTGATTTCTTCTCCAGCCTGGGCATCTGCTCAGGAAATTCACTGAGCAGGACGCACCTGTATCAATTACATCTGTCCCCCTACTCCTCCTCCCTCAGGCCATAGAGCAATTTCCAGATTCTGTAACTCCCCACAGCCAAAGCTCTGGGCAGCTCTCTCACTCCCTGGGAAGCCTGTGTGAGAGCACTCCTCAGCCCATGCAGACTGCAGGCCCCATATTTGCCTTTCTGCCTCAGCCTGTCTGCCACGCTGGGTGATCACCATGTTGGCGTTAACAGATCTCTCTCCTTACAGCCCCAAATGGAAAGAGCAACATGCCCTGCTTGCCTGCCCTGAGCGAACTGCCCACAGAAGCTGTCATACCATGCTCTGTTTGCCCGTCCTGTTTGCTGTGCTCCCTAGTTGCCACCTTTGTATCTGTGAGGTGTGGCCCCGCTTCTCTTGGCCCCACCCCAACACATCACAGCTCTGCCTCCAAGTGCTGCACAATGGCACCCAGCAGAAATGGGCTGTCCCTTACCCACCGAGGCAGTTCCCTGCTTTGGTCCAGAATGTGTGCCCCAGAGTGAGTGCCTCACAAAAAAAAGGAAAAAATGATGTTGCATAACCTGAAGTCTCTGGCTTGAAATTTCCCATATAAGTCATGCACCATAACTGTGAACCTGAAAAAAAGCCTGGGAGCTGAGGACCACAGAGATCCTCAGATCTTTTTAAGAGCTCCATATCTCCTGCTGTCTCCCCATATTTTGTCCAACCTCTTAGATTCAGGACAAGCAGCCCTGCAGATTTGAGATCAAGTGTGGTGAAAGGTTTCTGGCATTTCAGATGCTTACAGTGGGTTTGTTGATTTTGGTCCCAGGACAGAAAAAATAGTTCATATTTCCCATTAGGCCAGGAAATGCAAACACTGGAAGCTCTGAACTGCCTGACAACATATGGCAAAGTAGGTATGATAGTGATGAGCACCACTGGTATTGTTTGGAATCTGAGAAGTTTTTGAATCTGTCCTCTTATCTATATCTTTGTATCTTTATCTATGGTCTAGACAGTGAGATTGAGTACACTTTCAGCAAGTTTGCAATTGACAGGAAGCTGAGTGGTGCAGCTGATACCTCAGTAGGAAGCGATATCATCAAAAGGGATCTGGATAAACTTGAAAAGTGGGCCCATGTGAACACAGTGAGAATCAACAAGGCCAAGTACAAGGTGCTGCATTTGGGCTGGTGTAATCCCGGGTATGTGTACAGATTGGAAGAACTCATTGAGAGCAGTCCAGAAAAGAACTTGGGTAATCTGGTAGATGAAAAGCTGGAGATGAGCCAACAGTGTGCTTATAGCCCAGGAGGACAAAGTACCTTGGGCTGCATCAACAGAGGGGCAGACAGCAGGGAGGGGGAGGTGATTGTCCCTCTCTGTTCTGCCACTGTGAGTACTGTGTCCAGGCCTGGTGCCCACAGCACATGAAAAAATGTGAAGCTGTTGGAGAAGGTCCAGCTAGAAAGCTGATCAGAGAGCTGGAGCACCTCTCTTATGAAGTAAGGCTGAAAGAGATAGGCTTGTTCAGTAGACTCCGAGGAAACCTCACCGGACACTTTCAGTACTTGAGGGGAGCTTATAATAAGGGGGTAGACCATCATTTCACATGGTCTGATAGTAACAGGACTAAAGGATGGAAGATTTTGATTAGATATTATGAGGAAATCTTTTATGCAGATGGTAGAGATGCACTGGCATAAGCTGCCCAGAGAAGATGTGGATAACCCAGCCACGGAGATGCTCAAGACAAATTTGGGTGGGGACCTGGGCAGCCTTGTCAGTGGGTGGCAGCCCTGTCCATGGCAGGGAGTTAGAACAAGGTAAACTTTAACCTTCCTTCCAACCCAAGCCATTGGTGCATAGAACTCTGTGTTTCCGTGTAATAGAACCAATGTGAGCTAAAAAAAATTTACATTGCTACAAAATTTCCAGTCAGCTTTACTCTTTATTTCAGTCCCTTCTATAATTGGAAAGGAAATTAATTCTCTCATTTTTTTCCTTTCTGTTTATTTATTTATTTTTTCTTCTCTCAGCATATTTTCACCATCTCAGTACTTTCAATTATATTCTTGAATACACTATTTGAAGGTTGCTTTGACATTATTAGGGCCAAAGAGCCACAAATCTATTACAGTACTAGCAAAAGAAAAACACTTTTTGGACGAAAAGAGTATATTTGGAGTGAGTTCTAGCCAGCTGTCTTGCTAAGTCAAATCTCTAAGCTTCTACAAGTCTTCATCCATCTTCCTACAAGTAGATCAGTGCAAACCTAACAAGTACTAACAAAATTTCAGTTTTCCTACTCTCTCCAGTATTTTGCAATTGATACCTTTGGCATCCAGATGCGACCACTCAGTGAATCTAGAGCAGCACTGTCACATTAGGGCCAAGGAAAATGAAAAGAAAGGTGCATTGTTTGTTCTGTGTCTGTAGGAGGATGAGACAAAGTGTGAGAAATGCGACAGCACATGCACGGAGTGCAAGGGACCTGGACCTCTCAACTGTACCATCTGCCCAGCTGGCATGCAACTCTACCTGGAGGAAGGCCGCTGCCTACCGTGCTGCAGTGACACTGACCCAGCAGGCATCCCAGAGTGCTGTGACTGCAGTGAAACACAAGGTATGACCATCCTGAGGGGTAGCAATGCTGCTGGTGGATGTTATGGGTGACTAAGCTGACTTTTAGTGGTGAAAAATGGAAAACAGCAAAAATGTGCTGCTGAGCTACAACTACGTGGTGTATTTCTACTGCTCTATCACTAGAATAGGAAGGACTTTACTCAAATAATAGCAATTGCAATTAATACATGAGTTGCCACCTTCTTTCATTCCCATCTATTGTGCCAAATAGCCAAGCTTTTCATAAAGCACTTGACTGGGAAGTGCTTTCTTCAATAAATAGCAATTTGAAACATCATTTTAAACTCCTAAGTCAAAATCATACTGTCAACTCCAGAATAGCAGTAATGTTTTATACAGTTGATGATCTGTAGGGTGGAAAAATATTTTTATAGAGCAAACTGATACACGCTCAGGGCACACAACCTGTCTTCAAGTCTTTCTAGGTGCCTGATATTGAAAAGTAAATCTTGGGAAGGGGAGAGATTCTCCATTTCTTGCCTACTCTCAGAGAGAAAGACTGTATTTGTCTACTTATTAGCTTCACAGCTTCTTTCAGATTACTGCTAGTCTAATAAAGAAACAAAGCTGTCTCAACAACCTTGCTTACTTACACCATCACAGTTAAAACATACTTAATCTTTTAAAACAAACTCACCAATTCATGTACAAACACAATTTCATTTAATTTTCTTAAATTTTATTTTATTGCTGTTGTCAGATGACTGTGTATTACGGACCACATTACCACCAGCGAGCAAAAACAAAAGCGCTTTCTTTGTCATTATCTGCATTTTACTTATCCTTGTCATTGGAGCCATTGTAGTCATCTGGAGAAAATCAAAATCGAAACAACACACTGCCAGTAAAGGTAGGTATGAGAAGCTGACAAATGACTCCAAAACCCTTCCTTCCTATGCGAGCAATTATCATGAGAGCCCAAGCTATCAGGAAGACCAAGTGATTGAATACAGGGATCGAGATATCGATGATGATGATGATGAAGATGACATTGTATATATGGGTCAGGATGGCACAGTCTATCGTAAATTTAGATATGGACTTCTGGAGGATGATGAAGAAGATGAGCTTGAATATGATGATGAAAGCTATTCATTTAGATAACTCTACTGTCTTATGGATTTTCTGCTCTGTTGCTTTTTCTATAAAATTGCAGCAGTTTAGTTAAGTATGTTTATTTACTCCTTTTCAGGCTGAACTTAAGATTTTAACTAATGCTTATTTTGAGAGCAGAATGGTTTCTAAAAACATTTTCTTCCTGAAGCTTTACATAAATCCCTCTTAGGCTTTTAAGTTGCACTCCAGATGTATGTTGTTTAAAAGAATACATTCCTATGCATTTCTGTGGACAGTGAATCCCTTCCCATTGTGTATGCACATACATTATGATTAACACAAACACCCATTCAAACCGTACATACATACTTACTGCAAACTTTGCTACTCTCTTTTGAAATGGTGTAGATATAGACAAGATTGTTGTATTTGTCTACATGGTAAATGTCACTGGAGTAGCATGCCAGTAGTTTACTACATTGTGATTATAGTTAAATAGACTTTTGTAATAGCATGGGCAAGGTTTCTGATTCTAGCCAGATTTTCTTTGTTGATGACAGCTGGTGCAGCTATGCTCTTCAAAGCCAATACATTTCTGCTTATAATCTTGTGGCATAGTGCCCAGTGAAATTGTGCACCTATTAAATGATTTTTAAGAGTTGAGATTGTGACTGCTCCAGATTGCTTCATTGTACTCATGGTTTGTATGAAAAATATTGAAAATATTTTATGTAGCAATCTCTGATTACTCTTTACTCAAGAGCTTGTTAGATAGTCTTTCGTTGCACACACAGACTTCTTGGTTTACTGCAAAGGGAAATATGGTCTATAAGTACAGCCACAAAACAGCACTCCTTCTTTCCTTTCTAATTAGCTTCTCAAGCTACAAATGATTTAAATACCATTTGTTCAAGTAAGTTTCACATTTCTGATGTAAATGCCTCAAGTTTATTGGAGGATGGCAAAGGGGATAAATAATATTTATTTAGTAACGTAATTTAAAGGAACACAGTAATGTGATTTTTGTATTACTATGAAAATTTAATTCATTGTACTAAAGGATGCTCTTTATGGCCCTTTATTGTGAAAGAATAAATTCTTTGCACAAAACCATTTTGAAAATGTCATTATTTATCAAGTTTTCCTCTTCCCTTTTGTGCTCTTTTGGAGCTTTGTAACTAGAAATAACTCTGAACCTGTAAATCAACTACATTTAATGGCTGCAAAGGAATTGTGTGAGAATATCTAATTTTTATGGCTCAATTCCTAAGTGGTATTTCTTGCAAAAAGTATTTATAAATACCTTCAGATCTTTCCATCTGTATGTTCAAAGAAGTTCTAAGGAGAAGACCATTGTTTCCATTTTGAATTTTATTCTTTAAATTACTACATCTTCAACAAGAATGTAAAATTATTTGAGTTCAAAAAAGTCAAAGCAAGGACCTACATTTATCAAAAGTTTCACAAGAGAAAGGTACTCTGGAAAGATGCATCTTACCTGGCACTTTATTTCAAGTTCTTCTCTGAAGTAGTCCTGAAAAAAAAAAAAAAAAAAAAAAAAAAAGGGAAAGGAGAGTGAACAATCAGAATGAAAAGTCATATTGAACGAAAGACTGCCTTATTTTGCTCTCCTAACCTTGTTTGGATTAACATGCTTTGTCATTATTGTTAATGATTTATTTAACAACTGTAAGAATTTGCTGTGAAAACCTTGAATCTCCTCATCACATTTCAAAGGCTTAATCCTAGCTGCACCTGAGCCTTTTGAAATCACTCTGACAAATGCAGTGAGTACCTTGTGTACATGATCACTCTAACATTTCTGTCATTTTAATGAAGTTTCTTGTATTTTACTGTACTCTGAATGGTTAAATATTTTGAATAAGCCAAAGTGTGCAAATACCCACAAAGCCAATTCTCTCTCTTGCTTCCTCCACCACCTACCATTTAGAAAGAAAGATGTTCCAAAGAGAGCTACTATATTTCAAAAACACAAGGCTGCTATAGAAACTCTTGCATCTGACTATCTGTTCTCTAGTTCTTTTTTTTCTAATCTGCCTGAATTCCTCTGATCTTCAGTAAACTTCTCTTGCTTTTGTCATTGGCTTACAGGCTGGTTCAGCCTGGTTCCAGGACGAGTGGGGCAGAGGGATCTGCAGATCTGCACCTCTGGAAAGGGAAAGCAGGGAAACCCAAATAATTAAAAGCAGAGGCAATGATCTGAGGAGAAACAAACTAATTTACTAAACATGGTATTGAAATGCAAGATAACACTCTATAATACAATATACCTAGAATTTAAGCTAATAAATCAAATGTAATGAGAGTGTCTGAAAGGTGGAAAGGCCTTATCATAGTTGGGTCGAGCAGCAGGGAAGACAGCCAGGGAAAACAGCATGTCAGGTGAGCTTCCAAGGCTTTATATCTGGTCCCCCTGAGCAAAAATGATAACAGAACAGCAAACAGTTTTCTGGGGAATGTTTTTTTTTCTCTTCTTGGACAGGTATCCAGACATGGAGCAGTAACTCTTTAACTCCCAGTGCACCACATGATGTTATGATGTGGAATACCAATAACCAAAAATCATAAAACCATGACAGCTTTCTCATTTTCTGAGTCTTTTTTCCTCACATCAAGACCCTTCAGATTTCTTCTATCATAAGGCTTCTCTCTGTACCTTCTTGCCATTCCTACTAATCCATGGAGTTTCTAACGATCTTCATTCTTCTCAGATTACTTTTATTTTATCCACCTTTCTTCTAGGCGACTATTTCTGATTATCAGTAGTAAAGCCCTTTGAAAAAGATTTTGTGAAAATTGCATCTTCTGTGCAGGTCTACCACCACTTACCTCATGTATAATCCAGATATTTGATTTCAAAGGAAAGAGTAGATTATCACAGTTCTTTAGCCTCCCTCTTTCCAGAGAACATAGAAAAAAGTTTAGTCTTCCATGGCTTCACCTTGAAGTTTTGCTAGAAATGAGGTGAAGGAAAGTGGATTGTAGGAGCTTATCACTATCTACCCAGGCAAGAAGTTGATTTCCTTCCTCTTTATAAGTTCAAGTGTCTTGAGACCCTAGGCTCCTTCCTCTGTGGGTTGTTCTCTGACAAAACTACATTTTAGTAGAATCACAGAATGGCTTGGGTTGGAAGGGACCTCAAGGATCATCAAATTCCAATCACTCTTCTGTGGGCAGAGTTGCCAATTATTAGATCATTTACTAGATTAGATTGCCCAACCTGGCCTTGAACACCTTCAGGGACAGGGCCTCCACAACCTCACTGGGCAGCCTGTTCCAGCACCTCACCACCCTCTCAGTGAAAAGCTTCTCTGACATCTAAATCTCCTCTCTTTTAGGCTAACACAATTCCTCCTTGACCTTTCACTATCTACCCAGGCAAAAAGTTGATTTCCTTCCTCTTTATAAGTGTCCTTTATTTAAAGGAATATTTATTGGAAGACAGTAACGAGGTCTCCCCAGAGTCTTCTCCATGAGAAACAATCCCGACTCCCTCAACCCATCTTCAAAGAAGAGGTCTCCAGCCCTCTGATCATCTTCCTAACCTCCTCTGGACCCTCTACAAAAGGTCCACATCTTTCCTGTAGTGGGGGCCCCAGGCCTGGATGCAGTACTCCAGATGGGGTTTCACAAGGGCAGAGTAGATGGAGACAATCAACTCCCCTACACTGGTGGCCACCCCTCTTCTGACATAGCCCAGGGTACTATTGGCCTTCCATGCCATATACACACACTGCTGGCTCATGTTAAGTTTTTCATCTACCAGGACCCATAAATCCTTCTCAGCAGGGATACTTTCAAGGAGTTCTTCTCCCAGTCTGTATACATATCTGGAATTACCCCAACCCAAGTGCAAAAACTTGCATTTTGCTTTGTTGAGACTCCTTAGGTTCACAAGGGCCCATTGTTTATCAATGTACCTCTAGATAACAGCCCTTTCTTTTGCCATATCAACTGCACCAGTCAGCGTGGTATCATCAGCAAACTTATGAAAATGCACCTGATCCCATTGTCTATGTCACTGATAATTAATGAGTACCAGTCCCAGGACACACCCCTGGGAACACTGCTCATCACCAGCCTCTATCTGGACATAGAGCCATTGAGCACAACGCTCTGGCTGTGACCTTTTAATCACTTTCACAGCTTACCACATATTTGCTTCTTGGTCTAGCATGAGGATTGCAGTAGTGGTTGAAGACTTAGATAGGAGTTTCAAACTAAAAATAGGAATGTAAACAAGTTTTAAACAGTTAATATAGTAGCCTTTCAAATGGAAATTGAGGCATTTGGTTTTCTCATGAAAAATAATGGGTGCTTCAAGAGAAATCATAGAATCATAGAATCACCAAGGTTGGAAAAGACCCACAAGATCACCCAGTCCAACCATCCTTCAAAAATACATATTTTTGGATTAAAAAATGTATTTACAATGAGATTTCCAAGTTTAAATCTTACCTATAGAAAAAATTTGATTATCCTTGGGTCACCGCTTTCCAAAGGCCACATACAGTGAGAGAGCAAGTTGGAGTGAAAGGGGTAGAAAGGAGAATGTTTCAGAAAATAAACTAGTACTAATGATGGAATTTTTCAATTTCCCTCAGCATCTTATGTGTACATATGATTTCAAGCCTGAACTTCAAGTAATGAGACATACAGCCTGATGAGGAACAGGGGGATAGTTTGACAAACAGCTCAAAAGCACTGTATCACTTAGTCTCTTATATTATGTAAAGCAAGATGTCTAGAAAGCTCAGAAGTTTTGCAGAAAAAGATACCCAGCACACAGCTAGTCTGAGCTAGAAAAAAATAAAGCAAAATAAATTCTCTGCCATAACAAGATAACCAATACATAAAGTCAGTACCCTAAGCTATCTAATTAGCTATATAGTCACTGTCATTGTCAGCAATGTTTATAAAATTCTTCTCAATTAAAAAAATCCTAGGAGGTTACATATCTATCCAAATAATACCCTGGAACAGTGATATTATAACTCTCTTAGCTATCATACTAGGAAATATAACTTTTTGTTCATCTCATGTCTTCTTTCAGAAAAATACAAGCAAATTAGGAAAAAAGTATATAGTCCTATATAGACCATATTAATTACAAAATAATTCTGATGCAATTTGGTATTCAATCTCTCATATCAGTTCCAGGAAAAAAAGAAAAAAAAAAAATCCAGTAGAACAACTGGATACGTTGATACTTTGCCCCAGTGATGAGCCATTAAAAAATCTGAGCATATGTACTTGAGGATTTAACATCTACACTTACAGTCAGTAGACAGTGTTAGTAGAACAGCTTGATCCCTGACAAATTCTGAGGCACACTGAAGAGTCCACTGCATTCAATACAAAAAAACAATCCTTATGGCATATCCACATCATCACAGTCTATTACGTTCTTTACTGGTGGGAATTCAAGGATGTCTCATAAAGGTTACACGAAGATCAACATATAAACAACATGAAAGTGTGAGAGAAAGTTTCCCCTATGAGACCAGGGACATATTAATGTGTTTCAAGATACAGGTTTGGTTAATTTGCAGCTGCAGCAGATGGACTTTTGACCTGACCTAGATGAATGTTTAATCAAGTGAACAAGAATGAAAGAAGAGGATGCAACTCTTTCCATCTGACTTCTAAAAGAACAAAGTAGTTTTAGATTTTGAAAAAGAATACAGGCAGATGTAGTTGGAGGTTTTGACATTCTGAGGACATATCTCCCATAAATCCTAGATAAAAAATGCACATGGACCAACAAACAAACAAGCAAACAAATAAACAGTCGGGTTACTTTTCAAACAGTTTAATTTTAACTAGTTTAAACAAACTGAACATTTTTCCTTCCAAAACCTTTTAGGCAATCACCGTTACAAAGATTTGCAGAGGACTATGACACCTATTTGTGCTAGGTATGCTAGGCCAAATCAATATCAGAACCCTCCTTAAACAAAAATATATTTAATAGCAATATGGGCAATAATCTTTCTATTATACACCAAAGCAATCATTCTTACAGATAAGAAGTTAAATAAATTATTTCCAAGAATTCTTGATAGTCTACAGCAGAATAAGTATTCAAAAGGCTTTCTGCCATATAATGCTCAGGAAATAGCCATCTAAGAAGAATAACCTAAGTTATCAAAATCTGGTATTGAAGACATCAAAGTAGATCATGTCTTTCAGTGCTATGTTCACCTACAGAAGTTTTGTGATTAACATAATTTACCACTTCCCTGGGCAGCCCATTTCAGTGCCTGATCACTCTTTCTGAGAAATATATTTTCCTAAGATCCAACATGAACCAACTCTGACATAAGGCTATTACCTCTCATCCTGTCACTAGCTACCTTTCAGGTAGTTGTAGAGACTCTCCTCTTTTCCAAACTAAACAACCCCAGTTCCCTCAGCTGCTCATCATCAGACTTGTGCTCCAACCCTTCACCAGTTTTGTCGCCCTTCTTTGGACACACTTCAAGGCCTCTACATCTTGTACCAAGGAGCGCAAAACTGAATTCAAAGTGCAGCCTCACCAGAGCTGAGTAAAGGGGAATGATCACTTCCCTGGTCCTGCTGGCTGAGTCCTTTCTGATGTAAGTCAGGATGTCATTGATCAACACCCCTAGGTCCTTTTACTCTGTGCAACTTTCTGCCCCTAACCTATAGCAATGCTTACAGTCCCTACCAAAAGTCACAGCACTTGGTCCTGTTGAACCTCACACAGTCAGCTTCAGCCCATCATTTCAGCCTGTCCAGATCCCTCTGTAGGGCCTTTCTACCCTCAGGCAGATCAATAGTTCCTCCTACATTGATGCCTTCTGCAAACTCATCCCTCATCCAGACCATCAATAAAGATATTTAACAGGGCTGGAAGATATTGAACATGTTGCATTTTAATATGCTACCAAGCATGAGTTCTTCAGGCTGTCAGAACTTAAACAGATTAAGGCCAGTTATCCAAACGAGACCATCAGCATTCAAAACAATTCTTACACTGTCACTCTCACACTGACAAATCTATAAGAGTAATAGACTCTGAGAGGTGACAGTCAATCAAAAAGTACATTGCATGAAAAAAACACAAGCTTAATTTTTAAAAAGTACTTGAAACTACAGCAATGCTTGTATTGCTTGAACTCTAACATCTTGAGCTATCTTCATGCTTGACTTTGCATTCACATGTTGCCTTAATTATAAAAAAACCCTGCAGCATCTGAAACACAGATGTTATGCAACAACATTTCTAAGCAAGATGAACAATTTTCCCCACCTCAAACTGAAAGTAGCAGCACAGTGGAAGAATTCTGCAGTACCTTTCAGTATATGCTAAAGAATATGCAGATTATACACACAGTAAAATCAATCAGAAAATCTGCAAGCAGCATTTAAATTTTTTAATTACATTCTTTTATTAATACTACAGCACCACAACAAATTAAAATTATCTGCACATAATACAAAAATAGAACACATCATAAAATTTATACTGTAATAGAGATCATGTATTGAACTTAATTATATAAAATATCTGATTTTAAATAATGAACAAATAGGGACACTCGACCAATTGAATGCAATTACATTTCCTCTAACATGAAGACAAACACAAGAAGAAGAGCTTATTGTTTTACTGTTAACATTCTTCATACTTTAGGTTAAAGCTCTGAGCAAAATAAGTTTTTCAAATTTTCCCTTTGCTACCACTTTCTATCATCAAGCACAGCTGTTCTGAAAACAATGATGAGCAAATTTTTGTATAGTAACATTCACTCGCAGTTACAGAGTAGCATTACTAAAACAACCAGCTTAAGGCACCATGGTTTTCACAACTGACACAGAAAATTCATGGCAAAAAATAAAAAATAAAAAATAAATTAAAAAAAAAAATTATGAGCTTAGGCATAATGCTACAATGAATAAAGATTTGTTCTTCATACACTTTCTTTAAAACATACTTCACTGACAAGAATGGCTTTTATAGTTCCTCCAGAAGAATAAAATATGAAATAAGAACTTGGCATTGTTACAAACTCAAGAATGCATCCCACTGGGAAAAAAAAAAAAAAAAAAAAAAAAAAAAAAAAAAAGTGAAAATATCCCCTCATCACCTCTCTATTTTAGAGAGGAAAAAAAAAGAGCTACTACTTTCAAGATAGTTCTCATGCATTTCCAATATGCAATCCAGTAAAGTCTATTAAACTCTTGTTTTGTTTTGTTTGTTTGTTTTTTACTTCACACAGCAAATAATTTTTTAAAAATGTTTTCTTACTAAGAAGATTAAAGCGTGCTGAAAATATCCAGATAAGAGACAAGAAAAACTGTCAGTGTCTTTGGAGAGTTAAATCTGTAAACAACCTTAGCAATGCAGGCCAAAACATAGTTTAGTGCAGAAAGTTCTTATTTAGAAATATAAATCACTCTTTCCTCTCTCAACAACTGTATCTCCACTTTCTTGCCATCAACAGCAATGATGAGCAATTCCTTTCAGTTCTGCTAAAGTCCTAAGCAGCAATAAAGATTCCTTGACTTGTTCAGTGTCTTTTCCAAAAGTATGCCATGGTAACAGCCTGAAGCTAAAATAGAAGGAGTTGAACTAAACTCCTGGCATGCTGATATTGCCTGCCGCAAGAAATTCTCATGAAGTTTTTTTGTCCAAGCTCTCTAAACTGCTAGAGTGAAATAAAAAAAAAAAAAAAAATGAAGAAGGAAAGTCAGAAAATTTTGTCACAGAGCAGGGGGAATAGATTTATAAGCACAGGCTTCCAAGTTTACAGTGTGCACTACCACCTGTATTTATACTTTAACAAATCTTTCTCAAAATATAATGAATTGACAGCACATCCTTCACTTACCTGTGTAAACATTTCAGACTAGAGAAGGCCACAGAAAAGGCAACTTTTATATAAAAAACTCAGTACTTACTAAAGATACATTATTCTAAAAGTTTCTGAAGACTTCCACTGATCTACAGTGAAAAGTCTGGATTATGCTTGTACTTTGTGCAGATGAAGATACTTTTGTGCTTTACATTCTGAATTCAACATTTAATAAGTCATTTCACTGTCAGTATAATGATTAATCCAAAATTTCTCCTTATCTAAGGCAGCTGCCAGAAGCAGCTGAAATGCAAATTTGTTTTGGTTACCTTCTCTGCCTTAGAAACATTGCTAAGACTTGTTCACTATTCTTTGAGCCTAAAACTTTGACATACATTAGCTTTCTCCACATCATTCATTTCCTGAACTTTAGAGAAACATTTCATCAGAAGGAAGCTGTTTGCATTACACATTGTTGTATGTACAGTCAACTAGGCAGAAGTATTCCTATTCCAGTAATTCAGTAAGTAACAGAGCCTTCCTTAATTTCAATCAAGGCTAATAAATAATCACAATCATAATTAAGAACTACAGTGAATTATTCTTGATACTGTTATCCAATCTTTGGCTTCATGCATAAGTCAACTTTTGACTCATTCTAAGCTGCTAGATATGTCAGACGTGATGGCATAAAACTGGGAAATCAGTTTAGAATGAAATTCTGTCTGTGAAAAACTGAAAATCTTCATTTATGTTTTAACTGTCCACACCTCGGGGCAAGCAGTGGTCAGAATTAACTTTGGTCATGTTCCACATGTGTTAAAATCTCTATAATAATTAGTACAATACGGATCTGTAATTTATCTATAAGGACCTAAAATAGCTTTCTCCTCCTTTTGCTTGACTTGTTTCATGGCCAATCAACACAAGAAAACGTAAATCACATTGTGTGGCTTCAGCATTCAGTTCCAATCACAGACACACAAACAGGCAGTAATGGTTAACACTGGTAGGCAGCTAAGCACTGCTCACTCAGTTCTACTTACTCCCAGTGGGAAAGGAAAGAGGAAAGGAAAAGCAGGAAAACTCACAGGTCAAGATAATTTAACAAGCAAAGAAGTGTAAAAAGAAAAACGTCTGTTGTTGCTCACCATCTTGCATGGGTAGACCAAAGCTCAGCTGTTACCCAAGTGAAGATGGCTAACCTATCTGAACCACTCTCCTTCCGTTTTATTGCAGAGCATGACACTATATTTACTTAGTTTTCTTTAGTTAGTTAGTTTAGTTAGTCATATCACCTGCATGGCTGTGTCCCCTCCTGACCTCTTTCAAAGCCCCAGTGGATACACTGGAGTCAGAGTAAGAAATAGAAAAGGCTTTGACACTGTGCAAACACTGTTGGGGTACAGATAAAGCGTTAGGATGTTAGGTCACAAATCTAAAACACAGCACCATACAAGCTGCTGTGAAAAGAATTAAGTCGATTCCACTACACAAGTCTATGTTGTATCAAATGGTATATAATATGTAACTAAGCCAAGAAGAGTCCATAGCAAGGCAAAAAAAAAGGTTTTTTGCTCAGTGTTTTTTTCCTTCTGGTAGATGAAAGAAGTTGTCTTTGAGTTTAAGGTGCTCTGGTAAATCTAGTTGTCTTTTTGCCTCTTCAATGTCTTCCCGGATTGCTGAAATGAGCGTCTCTGAAAAATAAAAAGCAGAATAGCAGTATTGAAAAGGTCACCTGAATTCTGAACATAGAATAAAGCAAGGCACACCACCACGTCACAGAATGTGATTATTATTACAAAGTTGGAGAGGCAACATTATCTTTGTTTTTAAAATGCTTTGGTTTTAATGTCAGAATTGCACTGTTCAGTGCTTACAGCATTACCCTTTCCTTGCGTCCAGGCTTTTTAGCAAAAAAAGTCTACAGAATCTTTTGAACAACTTCAGTTCTAACAGTGCTACATTTTTAAAAAGAAATAGTGAGATCAGACCAATGCTTTTATGACACTCAGAACAGAATTACTGAAAACATAATTATGAGACTGAAATAAGTGCTGATATACTTTAAGATGAGGGGTTTCACCTTTTTAATTCAACTAATGGGTGCACTATTAATTCAGCTTATAAAAACATTTTAATGAAATGTTAAAGGTTAAAACACAACATTGCTAATTATGAAGACAGAAGGTGATGAGACAGAACTTTCAATATGCAAGAGTATGACAAACAAAAGATTAGTTTGACAGAAACCTGCAATACTGACCTAAAGAATTAAAGTTTTTTTCCGATCGAATATATCCAGTAATGACTACACTAAGAATTTCTCCATAGAAGTCTTCCTTGAACGTGTTGATAATGTGTGTTTCCTAAAAGAACAGAAATTAGTTGTCAGTTATCATGGTGAATTTTGAGTTTATTTCCTTTCTCGCAACGATGTTCAGCTAATATACTTAATTCAAATTCTCTCCTACACGTTATCAGAAAAACTAAGATACTTGGTCTAACATGTATGATACATGATTGAGATTACAGAGCCTTTGATAACATCACAAATTGCATTTCATATGGCATTTAAGAGAAGTTGTTCATTTATGAACATTCTGACTGTTAAAGTCAGGAAAAACACTTCACCCCTTATCTCAAAGGTAAGATTTTTCGATGCACAAAATCACAAACTTTAATACGATCATTACATTCCAAATAACTGTAATGAATTTGATTGCAATGATATTAAGAAAACCTTCTCAGCTAGTTCACAGAGGAACTAAATGTTAAGACTATCAAAGGAGTTAAGGTGGTTGTCTTCAAAGCAGAGATTCATTGTGAAACAAAACTGCTTCCAGGTATTAGCAATTAAAACCAAGTTCTGCAAGACTCAGGAAAAGTACAAAAGCCTGCCATTAAGAAAAATAAAGATGCCACAGTTTGGGATTTAATCTCCATCCTGTTACTATTTACTTTTTGAATTTTGAATCTGCATATTAAGGCACAGAACCACACACCATTTAAGAGTAAAATTAATGCAAATCCACTAGTAATTAAGGTGCCCTCAAATTTCTTATTTTTAATCTGTATAAATAGTGGAGGGCAAAAGGTTAGTACGGTCTACCTCATTCTAGGGCTCTCATAACTCATAAGCTTAACACAGGTTTTGAATTTAATGCTTTTCCATTTATCTACCTGTCAGAACAACAAACACAAATGTGCTCCAGAAGAATTTAAGTAGTGGTGGAAGAAAACATTCTACTTAAACTTTATTTATATACAGCTGCACACTGTCCAGTTACTGTTTCAGATTACAAACACATGAGACGTATGCTGAACACATTTCTAACAGCAAACAAAATTTCTAAATATCACTTATGGACCAAATTCTGCTTATCTTTTTCAAAGTCAATGTCCTGCTCGTTTACTATAGTCAAAGTACCACACAAAGCAAAGTTCTTACCACTGATTTCTTAATATTCTTATAGAAAGGATTCCATCCTATGCTCAAAACCATTTTATGAACATCTCCATTTCCAACAGAGGCCCATCCATAGTATATACCAGTAGGGATATCGGATGGAAAGCTTTCGACTACTTGCTCAGAAAAGTTAGCTGCAAAAATTTTAAAAAGTGCACATTTGTGTAAGTCAATAACATGGCAATTTTCAAATACTTACAAGGCAAGCTCTGCCTACATGCTCTTTGTGCATGTATAATGATGACAGCGATACAACATGCCATTTGCAAAGTATAAACAAGAAAACAGCTTTGTAAAAAGTAGTCCTGTGATTATACCAGTCATCCTATTATCTATGCACACTATTTTAGAGTTACACATACTATTCTGCAGTAAAAAATAATAAACTAACCATTATGTCTGTATTTCACTATTAGAAGCATCACTGCTTCTAATATTCAATATCATCAAAGAATGGAAAAATCTCTTCTGACTGGCAAAGTGGCATCAGAATTATGCACCGAAGGGCTAGTAACACTTTCTGCAGCAGATAAAACATGTGAAAACATAGTGATTTCAGTCACCTGTCAGAGTTTTCATATTGCCTTTCAGGTTACCCGCAACTGGGGGTTTATAGGATTTTCTTTGAAAACTAAGAACCTGAAATAAACTCCTGCCTGAGTGAAGGGAACAAACCCCAAACCACTGCCCTCCTGAACTTTGCACAGAACTCTTCATGCAGGGTTTTGGGCCAGTGTTAAAGAATGTTCAGTTAGTGATCTGTTTTGGTTCACAAGCAGTCACTAACCTCCCTCACTCCAGAACACCACCCTCCAGAATTCCATTAACTCGTACTGACGCAAATAAAAGAAAAACAACATGTTTCTATTAACTGAAGTCGTTGCAAGCCTGGTACTTCAGGCTTGCTGCTTCAGGTTCTCTTGTCTACTGCGACGGGCACCACACAGCTGCTGCCTTCAGTGCCTCTTAGAAGAGAGCAAAATACGTTTCATTTACATCTTTACTGGTAATTAGATAGAGAAGGGAGCGGCCACGTGAAAAATACTCTCTTTTGGGTACATCCAAGGGTACAACCAAAGGGTACAACCCCTGAATCGCTGCCTTTACGTTTCCCTTCTCAAAGCTATCTCCCGTGCCCACTCTCCAGCTTGGCCCAACGGGTTTGCACCAAACTGCCGCATCGCAGCTCTGTGCATAGCGCCTGTAAGCACTGTTCAGCACCCCGCAAATCATCACGGCCATCGTAAGGAAAAAAAAAAAAAGAAAAAAAAAAAAGAAAGAAAGAAAAAAAAATTAAAAAAAAAAGAGCTGTCAGACGGCCGCCGAAGCCGCTGCAGATAAGGAGCTCGATGTGCCTCATTCCGCGCACCAGCCCGGCCGCCCGCTGCCCGGCCCCGTCCCGCTCACCGGTGGGCACGCCCAGCTCTTTGGAGCCCCTGCCGAAGCCCTTCACCACCTCCCCACGGCAAAAGTACGGCAGGTGCCTCATGGCGGCCGCACACCGGCCCCGCATCGCCACCTGCGTCCACCGTCCAACCGCTCGACGCCGCGGCGGCCCCAGGCTCTTGTCTCCTCCTCGTCCTGGGCACTACCACGCGGAGGGGAGCGCAGCAGGAGTGCCCCATTTTTCGAGCCGAAAGATGCTCTGCCAGGCGCCGACCTCCCCCACGGATGGGCTCGCCCATAGCCGGGCGCTGACTCTCCCGTCAGTGCCGATGGCTGTCTGCTGTCGTCTGCGACGTTCGTTAGTTCGGTGTCAGGAGCTCTGGGTGGCTTACAGACTCTCACTGTTGTAATCGCAGCTGCTCAACATCGAGGGGTGGTAGTGCATGTAAGAAGAAAAGCGCTGCTGCCACATCCGTTCTTTTCTGCTGTGCCTAAGCATATGGAGAACAGTGTTACAATAAGTGTTCTGTTCCTTGATAGCAGAAGCACCTTGGATATTGAGTACAGTATTGTCAGGAAACGAGGGAGCAGCAAGGAGGGGTGCTGGGGGGTCAGGCGTGACATCAGGAACGCATTGTGAACGAGAGGGCGGTGGGCACAGAACAGACTGCCCAGGGCAGTGCGCACAGCCCTGAGCTGCCGGAGTTCAGGGGCTGTTTGGACAACACTCCCAGACATAGTTCTTGAATTTTGGGTGATGCTGTGTACAGCCAGGGGTTGTACTTCATGATGATGTCGGGTTTTTTGTTTGTTTGTTTGTTGTTGGTTTTTTGTTTGTTTGTGTTTGGTTGCTTTTTTTTTTTTTTTTTTTTAAATGATGACTACTTTTCAGAACAATTTTTGCTGTTCTTGTGATATCCACAAGATGGCATGCAATCTCTTTCCATATCTGTAGGTTTGAATATAACATTTACAATCTTCTCTCAGCAACAAAAAAAACCTTGCAAAATAGCAAGTCCACAAAGTATTTAAGAACTACGTGGTCAGTACTTTTGCAGAAGCCTGATGACTCCTATTTGTCAAATGCATTCTGTAAACAGTGATACTGCTATTCATTTTTCTCTCATTGTGATGGATTGCTGTGATCCAGCTAAAATCCAAGGCATCCCTGACACTACACATGTTTATTTTGCTGTTGATTGCATTTGGTTCAAGTTTTTGAGGAGGCAATCTTCTATAATTAGTATTTAGTTACTTCTACTGAAATTTAGTAGACTTAGTGGAGGTTTTCCACCAAAAACTGAATTTTAGTGGTGATCATGTCTGCTAGCACTGCCAGAAAACAAGTTTGGTAGCTCATACCTGCCTGTGATTTGAAAGGCACTATTCCAGTCAGCTAGAAAGGAACTTCCTTGCTTATGCTGGATTATCTTTCATAATTGTTGTTTATGGAAAGTTCTTGAATGTTTTTCTAGTGTATATATATATACAAACATAGAAAATGAAATAAAGAGAATAGTGTTAAGTCATCTGTGTAGGGCTGTGTCAGGTTACCTGATCAAATAGAAGCTTTGTGAACTCAGTGCACCAAGCAGCATTTCGTGCAATGCAGAATGTGCTCTGTTCATCATTTCATAATAGATCACATGACTTGTATCACATCACAACCTTGTGCCAGAGCCTGGGCTTCCTGCTGCAATACTTCAAAAGGGTACTTTCCTAGACATGACTTAAGGTGAAAACAGGAATATCCTGTTTCTTCTGTGAAAAGAAAAAATGGGGAAAACAGCAGTGTAATACTTGCTGGATACTGGGATATTCCAGGACCATTCTGGCCAAGCTGGAAATTCTGGTTACACTGGGCTCTGGTGAAATATCCAGGAGGTGACTCAGAGAAAAGAGTGTGCTGTAGTAAAACTAGTAGCATTTTAACCAGCTCCTTGGAAGTTTCCATTCCCAGCATGACAAAACTCTCATTGATTCAGGAGTTCAGTCCAAGGACACTGGCATGCCTTACTTTTAGTGGGCTGAAACCAGGTGGTGAAATTGGAGTACAAAGTTATATACAAAGCATTCTTGCAAGAGTGTCTAATAAACACACCTGCTTCAAAATTATTTTTCTGAGTTTTTGTCTGGAATAGCAAAACTTGGGAGGTTTTATTGTTTTTGTTTATTTGCTCTGTTGCAGTATGAAGGTTTTTATTCTGTTTGAATTGAACATGTTCTAGAAAAAAAAGATGCGGATGTACTTGGTGGCTAGCATTACGTGACACTGAAGGAGCAAGTACTGCCAATGTCAGCAAAGTGAGACATAGTTGATATTATCTACTGTACACTTTCTGGCAATTGCAGAAAATTCCAGCAGCTACCACTTATATATTACTAGCAATGTGTGAGAGGCAAAGCTTGTTTGACTCATTACTGGTGCAATCCAGAAGTTGCAGACATGTAGGTCTTGATGCTTTTTGGAAGTTTGTATCTAGTTTACAAGTCTATACGTGTTCCAAATTTGCTCCCAGCTTTTTCATTCTTAGCTCTCTTTCTCCACTGACCCCTCAGTTGGCATGAAAAATGCACAGCACTACTTTCAGTGGCTTACCTGCTTTCCCTGCTCTCTACACAGCACTGCATTGTGCCATATGAGCGTTTTTCATGGTTAGCACTTAACGCTGTGAACATTTTAAAGCTACTGAAGAACATAAGTTTTATTCACAGCCTCTACATGAATTTTACGGACCTATTTGTCTGTCTTGCAAGAGCAGTTTAATATGTGTCTCAATTTAAGCAACTATGATCTAATTAGCCCTGAATCATAGTGAATGTCACTTGCCCATCAGTTTTTTGTTTTGGCTTGGTTGTTTTTTTGTTTGTTTGTTTGTTTGTTTGCAGCCACCACTGATCCAGATCAGCATGTATGTAGCTAGTTTGCACACATGTATAAAAACAATTTAAATCTTTTAGTTAGATTTCTAACTTTCGGCAAAGTTTAAGATATAATTCAGACTGACTAACATTTTGTTGCAGTCTTCAGAGAGAATCCTACACACAGAAGCTTTGGTAGCAGAAGTATAGACATACAAGGCAAGGTATCTCAGGTAACTTCCAATCCTAAATACAAGTAAACAAGATTATTATATTCTTGAGGGTCTGCATTCCGAAATACCTTGTATTTCTCAGCAAACAACACCGTGCTACCACAGACAAATGTAGAAAAACAAGATTATTCACATGTTTGTGAAATCATTTGGGACCCATGTTGTCAGGAGCTGTGCAATACTTTGTGGATGAACAGATGCTAGGCAACTTGGAGGTTAGTTATTTCTGATCAATATTCCTGTGAAAATGGAATGTAAGAAGGAATAACATGTTACAGGAAGAAGTTAGCTATGTTAAGAAAATTGTAAGCAAATATGGCTGGGTAAGTTGTGGTTTTTCCAGTTCACTGAATGTAACCAATCAAACAGCAACAACAAAGACATCAAGAAAACAGTAAAACAGAAATAACTTCATAGAATCACATAATCATAGAATATCCTGAGTTGGAATCACCCATCACAAAGATCACCCATCCAGTCTAAGTAATGCTTCACACAGTACCACCCAAAACCCACACTTTATATCTGAAAACATTGTCTGAACACTCCCTGTACTCTGTCGGGTCATGTCCACTGTCCTGGACAGGCTGTTCCGTGCCCACCTCTCTGTGGTGCAGAATCCATCCCCATCCCCCAGCTGCCCCTCCCCTGACACAGCTCCATGCCATTCCCTGGGCCTGTCGCTGTCACACAGAGCAGAGCTCAGCGCCGCCCCTCCGCTCCCTGTGAGGAGCTGCAGCCGCCATCAGGCCTCCCCTCAGCCTGCCCTGCTCTGTGCTGAGCACACCCGGGACCTCAGCTGCTTCTCTTACATCCTGTCCTCTAGACACTTCACTATCTCTGTAGCCCTCCTTTGGGTGCTTTCTGATGTTTATATGGCCTTCTTCTGTGGCACCCAAACTTGCACACAGTGCTGGAGGTGAAGCCACACAGTGCAGCGCAGAACAGGCAATCCCTATTGTTGACCTGGGCCTGATGTACCTTTGGCCCTTTTGGCCATGAGGGAACTCTGCTAACTCACATTTAACTTGCCTTTAGCTTGCCATCACCCCAGGTCCCTTTGCATGTGGCTACTCTCCAGCCTCTTTTTCCCACAGCCTGTACAACTGTCCCTTCAGGGTTGCTCCTTCCCATGTGCAGAATCTGATGCTTGGTCATGTTAAATTTGTATGGTTGGTGATTGCCCAACCTTTATTTTGTCAAAATCTCACTGCTCTAGAGGGAATCAACAGGTCCCCCTAATTTATTGTCATTCACAAACTCATTTACTATGCATTCCAGTCCTGCATCAGGATCATTTGTGACAACTGTGAAGAAAACTGATCCTAAAGTGGAGCTCTACTTCAAATTTTGGTGAATCTGGATCATTTAGGAGTCCAATGAGTTAGAACAACAACAACAAAAAGAAGAAGAGAAAAGAAAGAAAAAGAGAACAAAACACTCCTAAATATTTGTTTTTAATACATCTTTCTTATTTGGAAAATACTTGATTCTTAATTTCCTCTTTTCAAGGGGAAGAAAGGGAGGCAAGAAGCAGAAGGATTACAGAAAGCAATAATCTCTTGTAAGAAAGAGCTTCTTAAATGGAAGTTAGCTTAAGTGTGCATGGAGATAAAAGACTTTTTGATGCTTATGATACTTCATTTGGGAACACGTTGGAAAAAAAAAAAAAAAAAAAAAAAAAGAGGCACATTTTCAAAATTGTCTTCACCACAGGAACTTGTTTCACAATGACAAAATGAATGTTTAAAAAAATTGAATCAGCGACCACTAGAGTCATTTATGGATTTTATATAGAAGTTCTGGGTAGAACAGATCCCCTCTCAAAATGTCATGTTGACCCAGTGGTAGATCTGCATTTTTTATGTCCAAGAATATCCTGCACAGGCTCTGGTTTCTATTCTCTATATGGAAAGCCTTATTAATATTCAAGCTACAAGGGAGAAAGTCTTTCCACCTGTACAATAATATCATGAAGATGATGAAAATAGTGGTTCTAGTGACAGATATTTAATGGAGGAGGAAATAAAGGAAATGCGCCTGAAGTATTTTTTCCTTCTTGCTAATTAACAGGTTTTAAGACCATTCTCTTACATTTCTTGTGCTTATTCTCACACTAACAAATAACAGTCCAAAAACAAACAAACAAACAACAGCAAAACAAAACAAAACAAAACAAAATTATAGACTGTGGTGATAATTACTGATTTCTAATGGAAACAAGAATTTATAATATTACTGACACCAATAATATGCTCCATTTTTACACAGGCAGTGCCTGCATTTGTTATAGTACTGTCAGTTATACAGGGCAATAGCTTCTTCATTTAGCAGTCTGCATTCCGCTTCATTTTAAGAAGCAGCCCTAATAATCAATCATGCCTGACCCTGCAAAGGGACCCTACTCAGTGCACGCTACTTGTCTGCAACAATATGTTGTCTTAGGAAATCTTTCACAACAGTGAGGGGAAGGTTAGCCATAATTTCCACTTTCCATTTTAGGGCTGCATTACAACTGTTGTACATGTGATCCCAGTTTTCCTGCAAGCAGCCTGTGCCAGACCTGTCTGAGCTATACAGTTATGTAGTTCCTGCTACATGTATCTCCCAAAAGTTGCTTCATTATCACTGACCCATGCCAGTAAACCTGGCTTGATGCTGTTCTACCCATTTTCAGAGTCTAGAAAGAATTAATTAAAAATTACTTCCCTCCAATGATACCACA